CCCCAAAACCCCAAAACCCCCAAAACCCCAAAACCCCATGATTCATTATATCATTAATTTGCATAGATAGAAGAATTCAAAATATCTAAAATGTAAAATGCATTAATTTAGATCATAGGTTAGAATGAGTTTAAAGCCAATAACACAAATCCTTTGAAACCTACTCGAATCGAGTGGTATCTTGTATTACTAAATGATCTAAGTCCTCATAAACAATCAAATCTTTATCCTAGGTATTGATGCCCTTGAAATAATTTATTGCAGCTGTGTTACTTATCAGCTAATCTTTACCTCCTAATATCATAAGAGTAGGAGTCTTAATATGTTCTGAACCCACTTAGGCTTACTTCATTTATTCATCTACTAGTTTGAATGATGCTATGAATTTTTTAAGCAGATTTTCAATTCTTTCCTACTTTTTTAATGAAAGCATTCCAAGGCCTTAATCTGGGTAAAAATCGTCGATGATAGTTTTCATATTAGTTTTGAATGTCTAAGAATCTAAATCCTAAACTTCAATATAAGGAGCAAGCAACTATATACCGCTTATATCTTTTCTCTCATATGCTGCTTAAATGGCAACTCTGGCTCCAAAAGACATCCCAACCAAGAATTTTTGAGTATTATTTAAACCCAATTATTTCTCTGTTACCTCCATGAATCTAAGTTGATCATCTAATACTGACCTTGGTGAGTCAATCTATCCTCTAATTCCCTAACTAAAACCGAATCCCTTATAGTCGAACCCTAAGAAATCATATCCATGATTAGCGTATTTTTCAGCTAAATAACTATATCTAGAGCAAGTATCACCATAGCCATGCAAGTAATATACCACTCCTTTTCTGTGATCTAGCTTAGAAGGGTAATAGTAGTTTTTTAATGCTTTCTCTTCCCCGTTTTCTTTAGTTTATAATACAAACTTATCAATAAAAGGGAACTTTTATTCCATAAATCTCGTTTTTCTTTTAAATGATTCATCTTGTCTATTGATTTCCAGGACCTACTCATCAGTTCGGTGCTTTTGGAAATTTTTAATGATGATGTGAGATGGCTTCTTACTTTTATTCAATCTTTCATTGTGAAGTAGCAAATCACTAATTTGTTTGGCTTATTCAAGATTAGGTTCAATTTCTATTGATTTTAGATCGTTATATATATCTCTTAGGAGTATAGGGTCAAATATCTGATTGTTTTGAATGGGATCTTTCCCCTATTATGATTGCACAGGTAATAGCTAAGCAGGATCTACATCACTATATCCTTAAAAAAATGGGTCTTAAGCAGCATATTTTTCTAGATAGAGTTAACTATATGGATCCTCTTATTCAGCTTATAGTTTACGTGAGTTGGTAGCCGTAGTGAATCTTCTAACTGTTAAAGCAGAGGTTTTTCTGCGTAAAAAATAGTTAAAGGTTTTCATGAACATTTTATATTTATGGTAGATAATATTTGTAATAATTACTGTATAATTATTTTAGATTTCTCCTTCGGGGTTTTGGGGTTTTGGGGTTTTGGGGTTTTGG